ATACACAAAATTAGCCACACACATTCACACATCCTCCCCGTGTCTCTTCCTCACTCTCCCTCCCTCCCTCCCTCCCTCTCTCCCTCCCTCTCTCTCTCTCCCTTCATATTCTTCTCGCCCACATTCTATCTCTAACATCTCCAGTTACCGTTCTTTCCTTCATCCTTCAAACTCTCTCTCTCTCTCTCTCTCTCTCTCTCTCTCCCTTCACTTTCACTTCCTGTCTCCTTCTGTTTCCCAGCTCTCACACCTCACCACTTGCGCTCTTACTCACCCAGTCACTTGTTCTTTTGCGCTCACTCACTCACTCACTACTTCCTGCTCTCTCTCTCTCTCTCACACACACACACACACACACACACTGACTGCACCACCCCAGCTGATTCCTCCTGTGGTCCTCAGCTCCCTCTGAATCCATACTGTTACAAAGTAACATAATCAGATCAGTGTCGTGTCACTGAGTGCCGCTCCGTCAGGAGGGGGAGACACTGACGCTTTGGTCTGGTTCACTTTGAAATGGACCAAAATTAGAGGAAAAGGCCGCGGTGGGGTTTAGTCAGGTGGGAGATGTGGGTGAGTGAGTGGGTGAGTCACCACCTTCACCTCCAGGTTTAGTGTTTCTAGATTTGACCTCTGTAATTTAATAGTCAGTGAAAGGAGGTGTGAGTTTGTGGCTCGTGGTCTGGAGGCAGAGTAAACTTCACATCAGTGCAAATCTGGTTTGTGAAGAAAAATTTGAAAAACTTTAGCGATCATCCTTCAGCAGATGTAGGTGTTGAAGGTCGTTAGCTCACTTTACTCTCCGCCTCCGACTTAATGACAACATTCATAACGAGGCCGACACAGCTGATGGGATCCCACTCGTGGAGTCACTTTCAGCCGGACGTCAGTTTGTCTTGGTTAGACGTGAAAACTGCGATTATAGTTCTGACCTGTTGGCGGACCGTAGAGAGATCTGTACATTAACCTTCCATGACCTACAAGAGGCAAAATGATGAGGCCAGTGGGTCAATAAGACCAGTGTTACGCAAACATTTCAGGCAACTTTTGTTCTACCCCGCCCCTCAACGTTGACACATTCGCAGCTATTTGTTGCTGCAAATGCTCTCATACTTTAATAAAAAAAACACTCACCTTAATACCTAAAAACAGAATGCATAGATACATTTTTGTGTATCAAAAAAAAATAATTAAATTTTTCCTCCATGTCCCTCAAAGGACCACATCCCCCAGTTTGGGAACCACTGAATTAAAAAAAAAAAAAAAAAGGTCCATATTGTTGCAGTTGCACACCTTCCTAAACTCATCTGCCTTACATGCAGAAGGTCCTGGGTTCGAGTCCCAGAGGAACCACATGCAACACTAATTCCTTAGGTTTCTACGATGTGAGTTCTGTTTTGTAATATTGATTCATTAAGAGTGTATTTGAAGAGTGTATTTCTGAACTCGCACACCCTGCAGGGGGCGTTAAAGTGTGCAGACAGTGAGAGTGAAAAGCATCTTCCAACCTTTACTTTTGTTAAACAAACAAAAAAAAAAAAATCACAGAACAATATTTATGTGGGTTTTTTCTTTTCCTCCTCCTCTGCTGTGACTTGAACGTCTGAACGTTGACGCTAACGCACCGACAAACACATTTAGCCCGGACATATTGTCAGGTGTAAATGACAACGAAGATCTGGAATGGATTCATAAAATGTAACCGTGAAACGTGCACACGCATATTTTCCCTCCCACCTGTCACTGTCCTCCTTCATTTACACAACACCACCTCCGTCTCACCCCCTTCACCCCCCTCCTCCCCTCCCCTCCCTCTCTGTCCGTCTCACTCTGCCTCAGCCTGGGCTGATGTCAATGCCCTTCAATCTACTGGATGAAGGAGCTGGATTTGAAGCATGACCAAACGTGTGGATCCATGTTTCCATTTTTAGACCGGGGTCAGGGACAAATCACACCTTTCCTTTTTTTTTTTTTTTCTGCACCCCCTCTAATGCACAGTGTGTGTTTGTGCATCGCAGCTGTGGGTGTGTCAGTGTGTATTTTCTTGCATTATGCATATATTATTACCGGTGAATGCAGGCCTGCTTGTTGATGTATGATAAATAAAATTTTACTTTTATTTTTTTAAATTGAAAACAACAATAATAAAACTGTTCATTATAATAATAATATAATTATAATTCAGTCCAACAATGGTGACATTTACAGTGTGAGTCTTTTCAGCCCACACTGGCTGTCACTCAGGAGGCACCATTAGTGATGTGTGGATCCTCTGGGAATTGAACCCAGGACCCTCTGCATGTAAGGCAGGTGTAATATATACATTATATATTACATTTAAGGTAATATATACATTATATTTTACATATATGAAATATATGTGATACTAGAATGATATAATATACTACTAATATATACTACAGGTCCAAAGTCTGGTCCGGGGGTCATTGTGTGGCCCGTGGTCATATTCCATATGGTCCTCAGCCTCTGTCCTAGAATGACGTGAAATGTTCCATTTGGAGTTTTTGTCCTGCAGGGGGTAGTAGAGGTACTTTGAGTCGACTGCAGGGGCCTGAAGGAAGCACAAAACACTTTGATTATTTACCTCGACTGTTACTACAGTACAGTAGGTATAAAGTACACAGTGTCAGTCTGATCGATCTCACACGCGGAGAAACGTTAAAATCGAACTGCTGAAGTGACAGAAGATTGAAAAAGATGCCCCCCACTGGAGTTTAATGACACAGCGGAGTAAACACAGGCCGCTCTCTGTACTGCAGTTTTCTTTTTGTGTAGCCATCAAAGTGATGTACTCTCGTCTTGGCGGAGTTTTTTTTTTTTTTACGACACTGTTGAACTGCCGTGTTTCCCTGTGCGTTGATTTCCAGTTTCGTTTCGTCTCCTCACTCTGTCGTTGGCTTCTTTCACCGCGGCACAAAGTTGTCGGTGAAACGCCATTTTTCTCTCTCTCTCTCGGCGCCGCCTTCTTCAGCGTGCTCGTCATTAACGCCAACGTAGGCAGGCGGCTGGTTATCACCTAAGTGCAGTAGGATGGATAATCACAGTTATCAGACTTCAGACAGGAGCCACTTCAGCCACCGAGCCGCTGTCAGCAGCTCTTAGAGTCGGAGAAGAAGTGACTTTTCAAATCCTTTTAACATTTAACACACGACGTGATGCTGTGGTCAGAGGAGAAGAAGAAGAAGAAGAAGAAGAAAAAAACACTTAGTGCCAGCAATTTTGCCTTGTGGTTTTTAAGTGAGAACAGTGTGTGTGTGTGTGTGTGTGAGACTGAAATCACGGAGTCTGAAATCAGACGTCAGCAGGCTGCAGTGGTTACGGAGAAAATCAGTCTTTTTTTTTTCTCCTGCTGCTCTGACACTAAAAAAACCCAACATTTTTTAAAATCATTTCTGCGTCATCCATTACATAAATCTCGCTCTTTAACCAGACTTTAAATTCCTCTCTGTCTCCATGTCTGTTGTTCTGTCTGATTAAAAAACCTAGAAGAAGAAAGAAAAAAAGAAAGGTGCTTTTATCCAAATCCCTCAGATCTCAAGTCTGGACGGGACACATCTATGAACCCTAAAAAAACCATGAAAATTAAGATGCCGCAGCAGAATTCTGTTTTTTTTATATCATTTTTTTTGGCCTATACAGTTTTTTCCGGAGTATAAGTCGCACTTTTTTTCATCCTTAGGCTGGATTTGCGACTTATTCTGAGGTGCAACTTACTGTATATATTAAAAATATATAATTTCACATGTTATTTTCACACTGACAGCTGCTAGAGGGCACTCTAGCTTTGTGTACCAGTATCTGCTACTCCTGTAAGTCACACTTTTTTTCATCCTTTAGCTGGTGCGACTTATAGTCAGGAAAATATGGTACTTGTTTTGTTTTGTTTTTTTACTTTATTTGCAGAATTGTGGCTTATGTTGTTCAACCACAGTCTGTTTTTGACCAGTGGTTGAAATTCTCTGTTTTAACATCAGATTCTTAAACGCAGAAAGATGTGTCTTTTATCTCATGAGTCTCATTTTTTTTAGTCCATCGTTGCCTGGCCGTAACATTCAAGTCCTGTTTACCGGGATAAGGCTTTTTTTTTTTTTTTTTTTTTTTTGCTCACTTGATTGTAATGTATTATTTAGTGTGTGAGTCTGTGTCCAAGTGGTTACAGGTAGAAATGTTGTCTCTCCTCCTTGGTGACATCATCAAGTGGATTCCTGCAGATCTAATTCCCTCTCCTTGTACATATGTGTGTGCGTGTGCGTTTGTGTGTGAGAATGAACACAAGCGACACGCCGTCCCTGCTCCCTGACACGGCGCCATAATTGCCGTGGAGAGTGGACCACACGCAGGTGCCTACATTGTTGACCGCATCCTGTTTAGGTCTTTGTTGATGATGATTGGAGATAATCTGTCTACCTGAGGCAGCGCAGCGGCAGGGATGTGTAATTATACTGGATGAGACTGGAGACTATTTATAGCTGATGTCACCGGAGAGCGGCTGCCAGAGAGGCTGTGATTGGTGGATAAGTAGTTGGCTGTCTGTGGGGCTGAATGATGATTGAGGCCATTTACCAAGAACAATTGATTTGATTGTATTGATGGGAGTATTGTTCTGTTGACGACTTCACATAAAGAAAATGCACCGAACATTGTATTAATGTGTACTCAATGTACAACATAGTTTTTTTTGAGTATCTCTACTCTGCTACTTTCCTTTTAATGTCAGCTGATGATTTTTTATTTTTTTTGCTAAATTATAATTCTAAGAAATCAACAGTTTCTGTTGTGATGTTATAGATATTTCTCCTTAAATATAATCGAAATTTAGTTGAAATGAAAACGAAAAAATATCGTTCATCCAACGTCTTTGGTCGCCAAGTGGTCAGGACCAATCACAGCTGTTCACTGGCGAGGGCGGGGTCACAGTTCACGTCAGTCCATCATCTGTACCTATCCCTTTGAATTCTACGTGTCTTTTTGTTCCACAGGTACTACAGCGCCACCATTCTTCAGATGTCAGGAGTGCGCGACGACAAACTGGCCATCTGGTTAGCCGGCATCGCCACGCTGACCAACTTCCTCTTCACACTGCTGGGAGTGTGGTTGGTGGAGAGAGTGGGCCGCAGGAAGCTGACCCTGGGCAGCATAGTGGGTACGCCCCTCAGAGTGAACACCATCAGTTAAACCACTAACACAGCGTACAGCGTCTTTTTCTCATGTGTTGTTTTTGTGTCTTTTTTTGACAGGGACGTGCTTCAGTTTGAGTCTTTTAGCCACGGGTTTCCTCATATCGGCACAGCACAGCCCCCCCGTGACCTTTCACCCCTTAGATCCTGCCATGGCCAACTCTTCGTGCTCAAAGTACCAGTAAGTTCACACCGAACACACCAACAATCGCCAGTTTCTATCAGCTTCAGAGTTGAGCCTTCGTTGACCAACGACTAAATCAGAATGAAACAAAAAACATCAATTATTTATCACATCGAAAACTGAATATAACCTTTAACTGATATTGGATGTCGTGTGTTTCCACCCTGACTTGGGACTGGGATTTGAACCAGCCATCCTCCGAGTTAAAGCCTGTTCCTTTAACAACATCACGAGTCACGAGTTCCCAGAATAAATGTTCTTTAACGTGACGAGTCACGAGTTCCCAGAATAAATGTGTTTACGTCACCTGGTACTCTCAGCTGGTCCAAGTCCATTGTGTATGTTCAGAATCAGCTACGACTTGGCCACTGTCTCCAAACACAATGATGTGAAATGGGTGAATACACACACACATGCACACACTTTGTCTCCCTGTGCCAACCACAGATCAGATTCCTCCCTGTCCCAATTTACTCCTCACTTGCACACACACACACACACACACACACGAGATGGGTCTCATGTGTAACGACCATCTTTCATCATAACAACAAACAACGCCTAATGGACTGGCAGCTCTGCTCTCACACACACACACAGACACACACACACAGACACACAGAGGGAGTTTAGACGAGATGAGTGCTTTTACCACGCTGTCGTGGCCTCATTGAGTTCACTTTACTCCACAGAAGCTCTCTCTCTCTCTCTCTCTCTGTCTCTCTCGCCCACCCTCACTCTCTGTCTCACACACACACACACACTCCTGGCTGACCACAGCACCATCAAAGCCGGTCTACTGCAGATGGGACGTCTCATTAAAGGATGCCTTCAGAGGGAGTTCGACTGTAGTTTGACCCCCGTGACCTTTAGCATGATTCAAAGTTGAAAAGTGAACAGAAGATCCTCTCTAATCCAGGGCTGTCAAAACTTTGACTTTGACTTTCTTTGACTTTGACTTGAGCTACTTTTAAAATGACCAGACAGAATATACTTTATATATTTGTATTTATTTATATTTATGTTGAAACGTTTGGATTAAACGGATCTGTATGATTCAATACATGACTATATTTTCAATTCTTATTTTTAATTTCTCATGTACCAGTACTACCTTGCGATCGACTCATTGAAAACTGTTTGTGGTGAGATAATATAGTCGTACACTAGGTGGCAGCAGATGGCAAAAAAAAGCTAAAACAAAACAAGAAGACTCAGAAAATGTGACAGAAAATCTTTGACACACAGCGATGTCTTGATCTGTGTGTTTCTTCTATTCCTGCCAGTTCAATAAGTCGTTGTGTTCAACTAAACAGGCCCAGACTTCACAGTGAGTCGGTGAATTGTGAGAAAATAGAAACTATAGAAAAATCCTGGTAAGTCAGTTATCGTACACACAGGCCATTGACCTCAGAGGGACGGATCACACGCCATTTATTTTTGCTCTTAATCCTGAGTCATCACTTCCTGTGACTGGGGAATGCTGCGAACATTAATTTTATTTGGGTAATGAGGCGAGTCTCAATTAGCAGTGGCTGAGAGCAGCTCTGTGTTAGAGCCTCTTCTGGTGGAGTCGTGTACAGTGCATTAACCTTCACCTCTCTTTGTGTTCCTGCCTCTCGTCTTCATCCTTCTCCCTCCACCCACATCAGTCTGCTGCTCTGTAATTACCCGGCACTTTATTTCGTTTTATCTCTTCCAAAGAGAAAAGGTTGAAGTATTTGTTGACGTAATTGATTTTTGGGTTGGAAAAAAAAACGTAACTTCTTTCATTCGCACATAGTTTCAAGGAACCACAGAAAATGTTGTGTGCGCTTTGTCCGTCCTGCAGGCTGTGTGAGCCGTGCATGCTGGACCCTGGCTGTGGCTTCTGTTACCGTGAGAACGGCTCTGCGCTCCTGGCCTCCTCCTGTGTTCCTGTCAATAAGGCCTCCACCGAGCAGGCAGCGTGGGGCAGGTGAGTCACAGGATGCTGCACCCGCCTGTGCATGTGTTCAGGACACAGCGGTACAGGAAGCAACGCTGTAGATGGAGGCGGCTTCCTTCTAACCTGTTCATGGACTGAGGTCCGTGAATAAAAAGGGGTGAATAGCAGTGACGTCTCACCCGTCTCCCTCAAACTGATTTTTTTGCTACCTTAATGACATCGCTGAATGAAGTCATTCAGTAAAACTGAAGTACATTTTTTGTACTTTGTGTCTCACTAGACTAACTAGCCCAAATCTGGCCCGCCACCTCATATATTTGTCCTTAACAGACATCAACATGTGTTTATTTTAAATAACATTCAGTGGTCAAATTCTGCAGGTCTACAGTCTATTCCTATTAGACATTAGACCATATGTGTCAAACTCAAGGCCCGGGGGCCAAATGCGTCCCGCCAAGCCGTTTTGTGTGGCCCACGGGAGCTTAAAAAGCATTTAGTAAAGTCCATGCAAGTTTTATTACACAGCAAATTAACAATATATGTAGCTTGAATAAATAATAATTAATTAGAGAAACATGTATTAGTCTGTGATGGAGTCGTTACATCCATACCAGTGGTTCCCGACCTTTTCTGTTCCCAGGACTGATCACCCAGTACCACCCGTCACTTGTGACCTATTATCTTAAAATATTTTCACTGTGTCTCACTGCAGCCCGGTACCAAATGACTTATGGACTGGTACTGGTACACGGACCAGGGGTTGTGGACCCCTGATCTATACAGTTTTCCAGTTACAACCGGCCCTTCAAGGGGAACTGTATTACTGATGTGGCCCCCCAGTGGATATGAGTTTGACTCTCCCTGAATTAGACTGTTGGATTATTGTTTAAATTTTGCTCCCGCTCTAGATGCTCCAACTTCAGCCTCATGAAGGATCAGACCTACTGGGCCTACAACTACTGCCCCTCCTCCTACTCCTGGCTGGTTCTACTGGGTCTCGTGTTCTATCTCGCAGCCTTCGCTCCAGGTAACAGACACATATATGTAGTGTCTGTCGAACATTTTTTATTATTTTTCTCAGAACACTCAAACATCCATCTTTGACCACCTCATCCTTCTAAGGGTCTTTTACCTCTTTTCTCTGTTTCAGGGATGGGTCCGATGCCCTGGACCATCAACTCAGAGATCTACCCTCTGTGGGCCCGCAGCACGGGGAACGCCTGCGCGGCAGGAGTCAACTGGACCTTCAACATCCTGGTGTCTCTCACCTTCCTTCACCTGGCCCAGTACCTCACCTACTACGGTCAGTTTCTTACCTGCTCTGTGGTACCTGTGTTCTTTTCCTCCCCCCAGAGGTCATGGAGGTATTGCAGTCCGGACACAAATAATATTAATACAAATATATCTTTTAATTTGTGCCGTTTTGAAATATTCAGGTTTGAAGTCGTGACTGTGTCAATGTCAGTTGACTCTTTTTAATCTTTTTTTTTTTTTTTCAACCAATCATGTCCTTCTGGAAACACAGACAGGGTTGATGTGCCTGTCTCGTCTGTTTATCCATCAGCAGATCGAATCCCTTTCACAAAAGGTTTATTAAAAGAATTGGAGCCCGAAGAACTTTTCTAAAACTCAGGGGGGGGGAAAAGTCAGAACTAGAGATAAATGGATTTGATATAGGGACGAGTCTGAGATGTTTTTGTTGTTGTTGTTTTTGTTTGAACTGTGGTCAAAAAGATCCGGAAAAAAATGACTGAGGTTCATCAGTGGTTTAATGGAACCATTTTTTTTCAGGTCATAATATAAAATACAAAATATATTCACCTTACATACATAGAGATTGTGTTTTGTTTTGCATGTGAACTCCTCTCACTCAGACTTGCGGAAAAAACGGATAATAAAACGTTGGGAACCACGGCTTTAATGTCATGCATTCGAGACTTGAGATTCAATGTGATCAATTTAAAGGAAAAACTTGAGTTAATTCGCAATTTGCAATGTCTGAAAACGCATAGCCAGAGAAACGCAACAAGAAAACAACACACGGGAATTGAACCAGCAAACAGTTGCTTCACTCACTGGTCTTGAACATTCGTATTTTCTTCATGCCAGGAGAACAACTTCCCTTCAGATATTGATTAATGATTGGTCAGTGACCTTCCTGCTCTAAGGCAATATATTTCCATACAGATGATGTTGTGTTGTATCCTTTCTTCCTCACCTCACGTCAACACCGGCGACGCGGTCACAGCTGGGCGACACCTTGAGTTGGCGGCAATCATTTTTCATATCCTCCTCGGCCAAAGTGGCTCAACAGCAGGCTTCTTTTTTTAAACAGGAGGAAGGTGACCTTTTCTGAAGCCGTAGATCAATCCATCAGGAGTGGCGATGGAGGCGGAGGCGTCCTGGGTCGCAACGAGTCACAGATCGATATAAGGCCGTTCCTTCATTTTTTTTTTTTTTCCGTCTGTCACTGACGGTCTCCATCTTTGGTACGCCTAATCCTGGTGGACCTTAGATTCACTCTAGAGTGAATAGTGAACACCATTCACACCATTGGTCAATTGGGAGTTCAATAACATCCTGTATGATTTTCAGACTGCAGTTGGCTTTACAAACTAAAAAAAACATCCTGGGTTGTCTTTCTTCAATTCCTGTGATTATATCAGCTTTATATTCAACTAAACAGGCTCAGGTTTCCCCCTGAGTGAATCGAGACAAGAAGATCAATTAATTTAAACATAAAATATGTGTTTTATCGTGGCTCAAAAAGGGAGAATGAGCAACACGGTCCCGCACAGAAAACAGTTCATGGTTTGAATCCAGGTTTTAAGACTTCTGCTCTAAAGGTCCAACATTCTACTACAAACAGACTTTTTTTTACCTTTGTGTTCTTCTCTCAGGAGCCTTCTTCCTCTACTCCAGTTTGGCCCTGCTGGGCTTCATCTTCATCTACGGTTGTCTGCCGGAGACCAAAGGCCGGCGTCTGGAGGAGATCGAGGCTCTGTTTGAAAACCAGCTGTGCTCCTGCGGCGCCTCAGATTCAGACGAAGGGCGGCAGATCGAGTACATTCGAGTCAAAGGTTCAAACTACCACCTGTCGGACAATGACGCATCTGACGTGGACTAACCAGAGTTCAGGGGTTGGTCATTTCACTCTCCTTGAGTGTTTTGTCAGTTGTACAGGAACACGCAGAGGGTCAGGGTCGGTCATGTTTCTTTGTGTTTCAATTATTATTAATAATGTCAATTATTTCAAAGCACTGAGTGTAAGGAATCCAGAAATGGTGACGTCAGTGTTGTTTTCACTCTACGTTAAAGGTGAAGTGGCGTGAAAACTGGAGTTGAAGCTGCTTTCGTCATCAGCAAATTTCTCCACCAGGCATTCAGACCACCTTTAATTTTCCTTTTTTTTTCTCCACTTTTGTTTTACCAGAAAACAACATAAAGAGTGATGTGATGTAAAGAGACTCAATCCATAGAGGGACTCAGTAAAAACAGCTCTCAGCCAGTGCTGTGATCCACAGTCAGGAAAGTATCACTTTACATTATTATTCAGTTCAATAAAATTTAATGTCTATTTTATTTTATTAAGGTTTTTAAATAGAATCAAATAATATAATATGTCAATAATGGACAACAGAATACAGTGTAGAAATTATTATTATTATTATTTAAATACCTAATAATAATTATAAAAGAAAATTAATAATAAAACGTCAGTGTTTTCTTGAACAAAATCCTGGCTCTGATGACATCATAACTGCACTACTACACAACCATTTTTTGGTTTGTTGTTGTTGTGTTTGCACAATTTACAAATGGTCAAAGTATCAAAGTATTAGTCAGTTTCAGATCTTTAACTTAATCCTTAACTTTTTTTGAACAAATCATCAGCCATCATCTCTGAGTGTGTGATTTTCTGAGACACTACATTGAACTAAAACCATGGTCATATCTGAGTGTGTGATTTGGATTTTATGAGACACTACATTGAACTAAAACCATGAGGACATTTCAGTCGCTCGTCTCCGTCTCCACATGATGACGTTGGTGCCTGTGTTTTTTTGTGACGTCGCCTAATGACGATTTTTTTTCCTCCAATCGGTTGTGTGTGTGTATAATCACATGTCACACGTGTGCACATTTTGCCTTTGAATTGATATGAAATATCATATTTTCATGATATTGTTTTTTTGTTTACGTTTACATTGTCGTCCTCTTCTTCCATAGCCTCCTGTACAAGTAGCAGAGTTACTGTCTGTGGTTCTCGTGTTTGAAGTGGAGGAGTGTAGGACTCTCTCTCTCTGTGTATTTTACTGGTATTGTTTCGTAAAGTAAAGCAAAGCCGTGTGACGCTTCTGTGTTTCCAACACTGTTAAAGTAGCTCAGTGCAACAACACCAAACGGACAATTCTGCACCGCTCTGTCGAGACCCAGAAAATCCTCTACGTCCCCTGTTGACTTCTGTGGTTATTATTAGACTCCGGCTGGAGGCCGAAAGTTATGGCCAAACAGGATTAACTTTTTTTTCACTGAGCAACTGCCCCTCCAAAATACATCTGTACATGCCCCTCGTTACAGACGTGGGATTCGACCACTGTATTTAACCCGTCCACTGCACATTTAGACTCTATAATTTAGACTTTTATTATAGACAGCATCCGCATGTCAAGCTCTGGTGGGCCACATAAAATGATGAGGCGTACCAGATTCGACCCCCGACCCTTCATTTTGCCACAGTTGGTTTAAACACTTACTGTATGTTTCTAAGCTTCATGATTTGTCTGAAATTTGTCCAAAACCATAAAAATTATTGTTTAATTACTTTAATACGAACAAAACAATTTAAACGTGTCATGTCAAGGAGGAATATGAAGGAAGTGTTTGTAAATACAGCGCATGTAGCTCCCCTTTCTGTCCTGTAGGGGGTGCTATTGATGCAGTTTGCATACTCAGGTCTGTGAGTTGAATGTAGTGGTTCGGTGTTGGTGTTTTATATATATCTAATCCTGTACCCCTCCACCCCCCCACCCCACATGATCAGACATGTTTTAAAATCTATCCTAAAACTTTTCGACTTAGCATCGGTCCAGTGAAGAGTCGACTGAAAAGTAATTTGCTTGATGGCAAAAATGTAGTGTGAGAAGTGTGGTGTGTTTAAAAGACCAGGGAGAAGAACTGGACTTTTGAAATTTGATTTACACCAGGGGTGCCCAACCCCCGGTTCGGGGACCTGTACTGGTCCATAGGTCATTTTTAAAAGATAATCTGTCAATGTTTCAAAAAATGAATCCAATCTTATCCCTCTACTTTTTTCATGGATTCAAAATGATTCCAATCTTATCCCTCTACTTTTTTCATTAAAAGATAATCTGTCAATGTTTCAAAACAACAGGTCAAAGGTCGTTCAGACTGTGATACTAACACAGTAATGGCACGGTATTACCGGTCTGCAGTATCGGCTGATACCGGCCAATGTTTAAGCTATTAGCATAATTTCAGTTCTAAATGAGGTGTCTTAAAAATCACTAGTTTTGTACGGTGCATATGGAAGTGTCGCTCCATAGTCCTGTTTAGTTGAAGTTTGTGTCGATCAAATATCCTTCGTGTTGGTTGCCACACAGTGTGTGCTGTTCAGCTCTTAGCATCTGGTTGTGTTGACACCGTCCTCCCCCCACAGTGAGGACAAGTGATGTGTAACTATGGTGAAATGTTACGTTTGTTTTTTTTTATTATTATTTTTATGTGAGCCAACTACACATTTGTACAGTTTACAACAAAACACAATAATAGAGTGGCGTATAGTTTATCTATGGTCGGAGCTGTACATGTTTTTGCTAGAGTTTATATTGGAATAAAGTATTAATATCTTCATTAAAAATCTTATCACTTGAATATGTGTATGGAGAAAGAAATAAAAAGTCGTGAGTTATTGAAAGACGGCTGGGTTTAGTCCAATTTATTTTCCCTGGAACTGCTTCTGGAACAAAACGCTTTTGGAACAAAACACATGACATTTAAAACGATAAATATTGTGGAATGGGAGAACTTTTTTTTTTTTTAAATCCATCCTTCGGTCCATCACTCCTCCGTCCACGTCATTACTCGATTCTTCTCTGTCTGAGCAGGAGCCAAACATCAGCTGTTTCCTGCAGCGGTCCAGTCTCATCTGAGGGTCTGTTGACTCCACTGGCAGACATGACCTCCTCCTCCCCTCTCCTCTCCTCTCCTCTTCCATCACAGGGCCTGTATGACGTCCCCCCCCTCCCTCACCTCTTCCCTCTCTTTCCTGCTCCACTGTGACACAAACGTGGTGTCTAACAAACTCGACTGTGATTATTTAATCACTTTTAACTCCGCCACCAGTTTCGCTCAAAGCACCTGGAACGTGTTGAAGTACCGTCTGGAGGAACATGTTGTCATCGAGCCTGTTGCTAGAGAGCTGGCTGTTGACTTGAAGGAAATTAGCCACAGGGTTACTGCTGGGTGTGTACTGCCCCCTGCTGGCAGTTAAGGCTGCGTGCACGTTAGAGTGTGCAGCAGTGAGACTCTGCCCCCCTGTGGAGGATTTTTTCACCAACAAGGGCCTATCAACAGGTGGAAGGTTGACCAAGGGAACTATGGACATTCTGTCCTCTGAGTCAGTGCACTGAGTGGAGGCGTCACGTGTCTCAGCAGTGAGTACCTCGACTGTTTGAGTTTCTGCATCGTGAGTTTTAACCTGGGACTTGTTACATCCGCAAAGTTCAGTGTTCAGATCGTGAACGACAGTTGAAGGAGACGCAAATGTAGAACAGACTGTTTTCTCTGTGACCCCGTCACCAGTCCCACAACCAGATACGGAATCAGTGGAGGGCGTGTCTTTCTGTCTGTGTGGTGAAACTTGGCTCCTTGCGTCTGCATAACAAGCCTGTTCTACGTACGAAAGGTCCACCTGAAATAAGTTTGAAATTTGAAAAAAAAAAAAAACTAACTCTGGGCCTGTTTGGTTGAACACAATGTTTATATACTTGGAGGAATTGATGAAAGGCAGGCAAAGATTTTCAATAATTTTGAGTCTCTTTTTTTTTTATGGCAATCTGTTGCCATCTAGTGGAAGACTATTTGATTGATTTGTCTGTCACTGTCAAATACAAAGAAAAATTTCGTTTTACCTTCAATTATATAACTGTTTTATGACCAATAAGGGGATATTGAATAATTTTACACAATATTAAACTATTTCAGAAGAAAAACTTACATCATTTAGGTCTGAACTGTCTTCACGTCCTCTACAACAGCAACTCTTTGGCGAAGATTCACAACTGTTTTCAAGGCTAGTCATGTTTCCAGGGCATGCTTAAAATATATAAAACATATTTTTTGACATTGATACAAAGTACATATTACCGTGAATCGAAATAATAATTTAAAAAAACTTACAAAAGTTATTGTCTCCACAGTCATAGAGCTGTAAACAAACAGACGAAAATCGTTTTTTGACCGTTTCTGACTGTACCGCTAGGTGGCAGCAGCCTGCTACATCATAGCATGTAACATTAAAACTTACCTTTACATCCATGCTCTGTGATGCTGAAACACTTCTAACAACAGGGCACAAATGTCACAAATAACGCAGAGGAAAAAAAATCAGATTTTTTTTAAAAGAACAAAACCTTACTGTGAGGCTGAGGAGTGGGCGGGTGTTTCATCTTTGAGAAATATCTTTGAATTTACACTGCTGTAATGAAACTCTAGAAATAAAAATGTCAGTGTTACCCCGAGGAGTTGAAGTTTTTGTTGCTTTAGTGTCTGTTTTGAAAGCGACATTTACCATCTTTCTCTCCAAATTCATCAGAGAAGCCACTGAACACTTTGTCTTCAAACTGCTGTTCAGTTTCTGACTGGTTGAGGGTGAAGTCCGTCTCCTCCAACTGGGTCAAGGAAAAACAGGCCTGGCTTCTCGGATGGTCTCCAACGTCATTCATACTGTTCATGCTGAGACGCATTTGTTTTTAGTTACAAAATAACTGGTTACTGCTGCTGGTTGACCTGTTGACCTACTGTATGTGTGGACTTCCAAACAGGACCTGAGCTGCTGTGGGTGTCTCCAGTTGGAGTGGTGGATTTGATCCAAACAACCAGGGCATGCCCTCTGCCGTACCTGTGGACTGGGAACAAGGCTAACGAAAACATTTGAGGCAAACACTGGTACTCTTAAACAACCAAGCTTAGTTAACAGCTTAACCTGCCACCATTACCTCACTGGAGGGTCACACCAATGATTGAATGTTACAAAAAAAAGCAAAAACATCGCAGTAAAGAACTACAGTATTTTTTTATATGTAGTATGGCCCGGATATGCAGGGTTCATGGGCCACTTCTGGCCCATGGGTGAGAGGTGATATGTAGTATGGCCCGGCCACTTCTGGCCCATGGGTGAGAGGTTGAGACCCCTGGCTGACAGCAAGCAAGATGAAACAGAGATAGTTCTTACCACAGTGCCACTGTGATTTTATTTCTACCATGATACTTACATGAACATTTGTTCGCTCCGGTGCTGGTGTGTCCCAAAAAGGTGGAGGAGGAGGAGGAGGAGAAGGACTGTGTCCCAAAAAGGTGGAGGAGGAGAAGGAGGAAGAAGCTGTGTCTGCTGATGATTCAGTTGCAGAGAGAACACTCCTGGGGAGAGTCCTCATTTGTGACATCATTCTGACATTTTTGTGATAAAAAGTACTTCTTATCATGTAGTGTGTCTGATCTAAATCTAAAATACTTCAACAGTACCTCCGAGGCCGGAAGGGGACAACGAAGTGGAGGAGAAGGGGCTGAGGGTGTCTGCTTTGGGCTGCACATAATCAGATGCACTGTTGTCAGAGAAGCCTGACTCCATCACTGGTGACAACTTGTGGGGAAAATATATTATATTCTCATTTATAAAATGTAAGTCAAAATATGACTTATGTGTGGCTAATTCTCATTGACGCAGAGATTAAAGGTGTGCCTCTAAAACTGTGGCTCTCCTACATGCTGGGTTGTAATTAGGTACAGCCATAAAATTGTGAAATTCACCTGGTGACATTTAAATCCTGGGGGAATAATGGTCCTGCCTTTTCTCATCCTCTGGGAACTGTGTTTTCGACAAAGAACATAAGACATAAAAAGAGATTACGGTTGAAAATGAATTTCGGATTTACAACCAAAATAATTATCCATTAACAGTGTTCCAGATTGTCTTTATTAGTAAAGTCATATTAGTACATTTAAGATGATAAATGACATTTTTTTGCCATTTTGAATGTGCTAATATGCTAATGCTACCTGTAGGGGCTGTCGACAAGACTCAGCTGTGACGGAGAACAGGGGCTCATTGGAAGCACCAGTGGCTTGTTTTGGTGACTTGACCCTTTTCTGCTGCTGCCTCCAAACACTGGCACTTTTGGATTATCTGACAAAAAAAAATGTTAACACATTACAATGTTATTTAGTTACATTCAGGCACTAAAAAGTGTGGAGAGAGCTACATTGTTTACTTTTATTTTGTTTATTTGTTCAACTGTTTGACAGTTTATTATCTATTTAATAAATAATTGTAGTCCATTTCTCATCTTGAAATATTTAAGCGCAACGTTGAATAAGTTCCCTCACCATTACTTTCTTTTTTGGTGGCAATTTGGTTGACAATAAACAGAGTCACCAGGTCCATGCTGGCAGAACCTGGACTGGAACCTCCAGCAGATGTGGGCAGAGAGAGTCCTAAATTTTTCAATTTCTTTTGCATTCTCCTCTTTTCAAAAAAGTCCTGTAAACACAGACAACAGCTTCAGTATTTATTGTTCAGAAGGAAACATATATACCAAACCAGAACTGTTGTGGTTTTATGTGTAATTTTTATTATATATATTTGTTTTGTTTTTTTTTAATAACGTCACCCTTTGCTTCTTGGCATCATCCTTCATCGCCAGTCTGTTCCTGTGAGTATGAATAGCACACACAGAGACAGGCTAACTGCATTAGCATACGGCGGCAAATGCTAACGTTAGTGCGGCAGCTAATTTACATTTTATAATTCTTACCTTGAACCTCCGACCCAGTTCATTTCAAACGGCTGTGTATATATGATAACTTAAGGAGTATTTGTTTAAAAGACAACACCGTTGTTTTTTATGTGTACTTTTTAAAATCTAGAAACAAATTAACACTGTTCGCCGGCTAGCCACTGCTAATGCTAACGCGAGACAAGCACTATCCTGGCGGGTGGCACCCAGAAATGTTCACCTATAAACATCCTTTAGCCTCAAATGTAAACGGACTAGGTGGTGGATAGTGGTTAAAAACGTATTTAAATGTTTCTTTCACAGCAAGGAAAAAGTTAAAATTTAGTAAAAACACAAATAATGATAAAAGAATAGGTGCGCACAGTATACGTATAGAAAAAAACAACTAGAAAGAGAATATAATCTATTTAAATATATACAGTCGTACTGTTTATGGAACAGTACTATTGTACTATTTTTATTTCTTTATTTTTTGTCAGTATAGATAAATAAATCATATTTGCAATAATAACAAGTTTGAGTAACTGTTTATTTAATTCTAACAGTATATTTGAATTTTAAATATTGTAAAAGTACTTTAAGAAAATATATGTTCATCATCCAACATTTTTTCTCAGTTCTGAAGTTTTTTTCTGTGTTCTGCTAACTTTTTTGATTTCTGTTAAATTTGTATATGTTTTTATATACGTTTGTAAACCAGCATTGTTGTTGTCAACACCCTGCATTATAATAAAACAATTAGGTTTATTATTCTAAGTCAGGAGTAGATGTGAACAATTATGTTATTAAATATGCATTGGAAATGGAAAGCGCAAAAATGTATAGTAACTACGTGGTAATATATGAAGTACTTTTTTGTTTATAAATAAGCATGTAAGACCGTTTTGTTCTGTTTTTTTGTTTTTTTCTAACAAAGACGAAGATACTTTGTTTAAAAGAAAAATAGGTCTGGTTTCCACTCATACCACTAGAGGGAGCCCACAGATCGTGTGATGACTATATAGTATGTATAATAAAATTGCTCTGTTTCTCCGATCGGTCATTATTATGTTTACTTGACTTTTAGAAACAGGAGATATTCCTTACACTATCAGTCTGTACCTTTTTTCTTTTAATTTATTGTCTTTGGTCTTTTTTCTCACTGCTCCCCATGTCTTGTGTCTGGGCGTCAAGCTTTTATTTTGACAGATACAACCGGAAGGGCTTCTGCCTCTCGTAGCAAGCCTGACGCCGGACGCTAAAACGAGTAGGATGCAACAGTCCATGTTCCGAGCTTTCGCCGCATCAATCAGCCTACGGTAGTCCGTCTCTTCTCTCTCTTCAACCCGGTGACTCGACCGCGGGGGATGGCTGATTCGAGGACCGCCAGCAGAGACCAATAACATCCGAAAATATGTCCAACATCCTGGATGCGGCGTCCAAAGTGAAATGGGACCGCACGGCTGCAGCGAAACGAGCCGTGTATCTTGCGGCTGCTGCATACGGCATCAAAACCCTGTATCCCATCATCATCAGGCAGCTCCACAGAGGCAAAGATCCCGGTCAGAACCACCGGAGCTCCAGGGCGCAGAACGGATCTACCTGCCCGGGGGATGCACAGATCGAGTACAGGAAGGCTTCGCCGGCTGTCAACGCTGCGTTTTTTAAGCAGATCCTGGAACTGGGTAAAATCCTCTTCCCCAGGCTCGTGTCCAAAGAGCTGGGTCTGCTCTCACTGCACTCTCTGGCTCTGATATCCAGGACATTTCTGTCAATTTACGTGGCAGGCTTGGACGGTAAGATCGTGAAGACGATCGTGGAGAAGAAACCGAAGCGCTTCATCATCCAGCTGATCAAATGGGTCCTCATCGCCATACCGGCCACGTTCGTCAACAGCGCCATCCGGTACCTGGAGGGCAAGCTGGCTCTGGCCTTCCGCACCCGGCTGGTGAATCACGCGTACCGGACCTACTTCACGGATCAGACCTATTACAGAGTCAGCAACATGGACGGGCGACTGGCCAACCCGGACCAGTCTCTCACCGAGGACGTCATGATGTTTTCCCAGTCTGTGGCTCACCTTTACTCCAACCTCACCAAGCCCATCCTGGATGTGATGCTGACCTCTTACACCCTGATCGAGACTGCCCGGTCCAGGGGGGCCAACGCCACCGGGCCAACCCTGCTGGCCGGGCTGGTGGTGTTCGCCACCGCGAAAGTTCTGCGCGCCTGTTCTCCCAGGTTTGGGAAACTGGTGGCAGAGGAGGCTCACAGGAAAGGATACCTGCGCTATGTACACTCGAGAATCATCGCTAACGCTGAAGAAATAGCTTTTTACCGGGGTCACAAGGTGAGCAGTGGTGGTCCTAGCTTATTCAGGGCCCTGGGCCACCCCAACAGAAAACAATAGAAAACAACAACGATATTATATCATCTTCAAACCTTTGATGGTAATTAGGGGCTTTACAAGTAATTGTATTTTTATCAAACACCAAGTATTCCAGTTCAAACTAATTTAGTTTTGTTACTGAATAAACTAGTGGACATACAGTGAATTACTGCTATTATATTTAACATTTTATGATATTTTTGGCTGTGAACCTTGTCACCTTGTCTGTTGTGGATCAGCTGGACTGTCTGTCTGTACCAGGACTACCGTAGCTAGCGTTAGCTCCCTCTAACTTGTTCTGTATTGAAGTAATACTTGAGGAAAAAAGTGTTGTGGTGAAAAGCACAATTTGCACACTGAATATTTTTTCTGTATTTTTTTGTATGGTTGTTGCTACAGACGCTCATTACAGACGGACATTTTCAACTTTGTAAAAGTAATCTGTGTCATGTGGGTTTTAAGAGCATCGGTCAGCGCGTCACACACTTCCATGACGATAGTTCTGTTAGACACAGTCTCCACAGTGTTCTGTTTCATGTTCTGCTCCGCTGCAGGTGGAGATGCGTCAGCTGCAGAAGTGCTACCGTGCGCTGGCCGAGCAGATGAACCTGATCTTGTCCAAGCGCCTCTGGTACATCATGATCGAGCAGTTCCTCATGAAGTACGTGTGGAGCGGCAGCGGCCTCGTCATGGTCGCCGTCCCCATCATCACCGCCACTGGCTTCGCTGACAATGGTAAGAAAGACGCTTGTTATAGTAAATAAATAAAGACACGAATAATTAATAATTAATACTGAAGTCCACACCCAGGTGTTTGGGTACAGAACATCCGGTACTCTTTCGCAAATATACAATGACTTCATGATATTAATTAATTAATTAAATTGAACAACATAGTGAAAACGTTCACGAACCCTAGTGTGCGGGTGTGCTATGTTTGTCCCTGTCCGAATTTTGCACGTTGCTTAATTTAGAGACGGAAATGAAAAAGTGTTTTATTAATTACTGTTGTACAAACAGTTAATGTTAACATTGACCATGAAGGGGTTAAATGTTACTAACAGACGTCAGATGTTGAGGAGAGTAATATGTTCATATTATTCAGACCTAGCATAGCTGGTTAGTTAGCTGGTTAGTAGCCACTCCATGAAAAGTCTGAATTTCTCAAAGAGAAGTTTTAGAAGACGTTATTTACAGCCACAGACTTCTTTTTTTTATCTAACTGCAGATTTTTGTTTAACATCCATTTCTAGTTTCCTTATAAAAATTCAGTCTTATTTGATGACTTTTTTTGTATTTTCATTTACTTTTTAAGAATCATACTCATCTTTTCTCTCTTATTTTCAGAGGTGCTTTAAAAATGCCTTTATTAATAACCAAATGGTTTTTTTTTTGTTTTTTTTAAACACGCGCCGAACTACAGAAAGGTCTCAACTTTTTTTGTTTTTTTTAAACGCGCCGAACTACAGAAAGGTCTCAACATTTACATCAGTACACAAATATGTGTTTACTTTGCATAAATACCTATAATATTTTCCATACTACTATAGAAAAAAAAATACTTATCTTTATATATTTTTACAGAATTCCTTTCAGAAGAAGGAGTTCACTAATCTGGCAGTTTTTTAGTTTCAGGTCAGACTGATTAAGCGTATCATTTTTAATATCGTCGTTGCATCACAAAAAGGCAATTTTGAACAATATAAATGCAATCGCACGTTTGGCATCACAGAGTAATAATAACCCCAGTCTGGGCTCTGAGTGGAAGTTAAACAAAAAGCAGCTCATGAACCCCTCCACCCCCCGCCCTTCCCCCCGTGGCCTGTGGGGTGTTAGTGATGTAAGAGCGATTCACACTGGGCACATTAGCATTTCTAAACCAGCAGCTACTGCTTCCTCTTAGCACAGCAGCTGATTAGCATGTGCAGGATACAAACTGCCACCCACACATTCATTATGACATTTCAGTCAGTATTGAGGAACTGAGTCCCATTGTTTGAGGCCCTGCCGTTTACGAAAAAACCACAGCAAAGAGATGGAGTGTGACCTAAAAAAATGATTCAGGTATAATATTAAAATGTTAAAAAAAAGAAAAGAAAAAACTTTTACCCATACTTTTTCACATCCTGCAGAAACAGCAGACGGCCAGACACAGGTGATGGTGAGTGAGCGTACAGAAGCTTTTACCACCGCTCGGAACCTCTTAGCCTCAGGAGCCGACGCCATCGAGAGGATCATGTCGTCCTACAAAGAGGTGAGAAACACTTAGGCTGAATTTGGCAAAAGTAGGTTTTAAGATGGATTACGACCTTGTCTGGAACACTATGTTTGTTCCAGATTCCAGATTCCTTTGTGGTGTAAATTACAGACATCAAAACTGAAGTTAAATTGAGACCAAAAGACTTTGACGAATTGTTGATCACTGTTTTCAAACAATAATTTGGATTAATTTAATTTGGATGTTACCTGTCTTTCTGTCCCAGCATATACAGAAAAGCATGTTTTTGTTCTATATGACAATGTTAAAGTACATCTCAATTAATCGCGATTAATCGAGATTTACATCAACTGCTCAATTAATCACGATTAATTGGGATTAATCCACAGTTCCCCTTTGATTAATCAGACTATATAATTTAATTCTTGTAATTTGATTGGTCCAAAAATGACATCATGTTGTATTAATAAAGACATAAAGCTAAGGCTTGAAAGAAAGGACGTTGTAGGCCAGTGACCGTCAACTGTTACATTCTTGGACCTCTCACAAATCCAGTCGTGACCCCTGATGTAGGGCTTTGTTTCTTCAGCTGTGTGACTACGTCTATTTTTTTTTTAACCATCTACACCAGGCGTGGGCAAACGTTTTGACTCGCGGGCCCTAAAATTTGACATCAGGAGACAGATAGACAGAGCATTTGCATAGAAATAAAACAAATGACATGTAAAAGTCACAAAGTCTAAAATGCTAAAATGCTTTAAGCCTTTTCTACGCCATCTGTGGAGAAATGCGGGCATTACAGGGAAAAGGCAGAAGTATAATGATAATAAAAACATAATTTGGACACAAATTGTGCTGCATCCGGCCCCCGAGCCATAGTTTGCCCATGCCTGAGCTACACCATCCAAAGCCTTAAAATGTCAACACACTCCTAGAGAAAGACCAAACATTTTCAACGTCGCGAGAAACCTTGAATTTCACTGATGTGTCGCCGTCTTCACACCTGTCAGCTGTGAGCTTCAGCCTGCTCTTAGCTCTTAGCTCTTAGCTCTTAGCTCTTAGCAGCAGCATCAAGCCCTCACTTGTCAGTCCTGGATACATACGTGCGTGTGTATGTGCATGTGTGTTCCATTTAAAAGGCCCACGTATGAAACACATTCCTAGATACATACATGTGTGTGCATGTGTGTTCCATTCAAAAGGCCCACGTATGAAACACATTCCTGAGGCAGTGTTCAAACTCCTCAGTCTGACTCTTCAGTCTGACACTCTTCCTGCTGTGTTTTCTTTGTCTGAACGTGTGAGCGTTCGAAACAGAGCTGTGTCTCAGCCTGTCGGAGCTGGTGACTCAACTGTTGGCTCGTGTGCCGTGTGGTGGGTTTTTTTTTTTTTCCTTCTCTTTGGCTTTGATAAGAATGTCTTTATATATAACTTTATACCAGTAAATGAGGTCACAGCTCGTTGTGTGTGTGTGCAGCTCAGCTGAGCTCTGATTGGTGGAGAAGGACTGAATGCAGAGATCTGTAATAGGCATTTCCTAGATGGAGTATCACTGCAGGTCAATCATCCCTTTCTCTCTCTCTCTCCCTCGCCCTCCCTCTCTCTCTGTCACTCTCCCTCTTCCTGTGTGTGTCCAGAACTCTGTTGAAGCTTAGCCTGGTTGTGAATAATCCTCCCATCTGTTGATCTTTTCAGCCCACTCTTCTGCATCTCTTCCTTACTTCGCAGCACTACCCCCCCCCGTCTTCCTCCCTCCATCCCTCTCTTCCTCACTCTTCTTCTCTCTGCCTCACCTCCTCTTTTTATTTTTTTCTAGGAAAATGTAACGTGAGTACGTTACATTTTCATTAAATTAATTAAACCAGTTAAGCTCTAACTAGCTGTTTTTTTTTACTTTCCTTTTGAGTTCATTTTTTATTTTTCCTTCCTCTTCATTCTGCTGGACCACACGCTGCCTGTTGCTTCCCAGAATTCACTTTTGCAGTTTAATAACATCAAGCTGTGTCAACAGTGTCACTGCAGGGGAGAGTCTCCAGGGACGGGGTTGTTTGGTTCAGGATTTTATCTTCATTTTTAAAATTTGTTTTTGGATTGAAAGACAAAACACTCTAAACGTCCCCTCTCGTCTACTGTCCTCGTCGGAGGTCATGGCTTACACACACACTTTTTTTTTTTCAGAAATTAAGCAGAGGATGACCTTTGACCCCTGTGTCTGTGTGTGTGTTTGGGGACAGGTCACAGAGTTGGCGGGCTACACTGCCAGGGTCCACAACATGTTGGCGGTGTTTGAGGACGTTCAGAGGGGCGTCTACAAACGCTCCTCTCTGTCGGAGGCCACCAGAGCAGAGAAGAAGAGCAAACCTGAGCTGCACATCGACGGACCCCTGGAGATAAAGGGTAGGGGTCTCTGGTCACTACAAACTACCTTCTTCTAAACACGGTGTGTTTGTAGTGTTTTTTACACGTACTGTTAATAAAGTGTTATTTTAAAAATCAAAATCTTCTTTTTCATCCTCTGGTCGCAGTATGTATGTGTGCAGTCATCTCAATGTCTCTCTCTCTTTCTCTCCTTTTGTCTCCAGGTGAAGTCATAGATGTGGACCAGGGCATTGTGTGTGAAAGTGTACCCATTATTACACCCAACGGGGACGTAGTGGTGTCTTGCCTGAACCTTAAGGTGAGACGTCGCCCTGTGGTCAGGTTTGATACAGTTGGCAAGTAAATATTTGGGGAAAGAAATAAAGATTAAAATGTTAATCAATCTTCAACCTTTTTTTTTTAAAAAAAACAAGCCTGGATGTTTTCTTTTCTGATATTCAAAGGTGGTTGAAAAACCCCTGACAGATCAAACATCTGAACCTTTGACAGATGCAGAGACAGACGGTGTCAAATATTTACCAGACGGCAGCGACACAAGTCTTAACACGTCTGAAAAATTCACATCCAAAAACAAACGTGTGCTGTAGGCCTGCCCTTCTACTGTAGAAAAACAACTGTATGGAGTTTTTAACTCTTTGTGTTCCAGTAATAATCCACAGAGGTGGATCTGTGTGTGTTTCAGGTGGAGGAGGGAATGCACCTGCTGATCACGGGGCCTAACGGCTGCGGTAAGAGCTCCCTCTTCAGGATCCTCAGTGGTCTGTGGCCTGTTTACGGTGGACGCTTACACAAACCCTCCCCTCAGCACATGTTCTACATCCCTCAGAGGTAAACACACAGTCTCACACACACACAGTCACGCACACCACCACAGTAATTCCTGAATCAACAGTAGGGTTTGATTGTTGTATTAGTGAAGTCTGCTGGTCATCTAATCCTCAGTAACCTGACCTGTGTGTGTGTCTGTGTGTCACATGTGCAGGGAGAGACCAGAGCGCTGCTCACTGTGAAATATTTACAACCGTTAAAAAACAACCAAGGTTCCATTTATATGAATGTATAGGAAAAAACAAACAAACCGTAAGGTCTGGAATAGAAGAGCACTTCTGTTTTACACTTGAGTTGCTCTTGTGTTTGATACTACTACTACTACTACTACTACTACCACTACTATTACTACTACTACCATCACTACTACTACTACTACCATTACTACTACTCCTACTACCACTACTATTACCACTACTACTACTACTACAACCACTACTACTACTACTTATTCTACTATTATTATTGTATCCTATTGTATCAATGTACTATACTAGCACAGTAGTGCATACTAATAGTAAAAGTCACTGACTGATCCCTAAATTACTTGGTTTCCAGTAGGGGGCACAGCATTATCTTTTTTGTCACGCCTAAATGGGAAAGAAATGACTGATTTATAACTGTGTGATGTCATAAAATTAGTTTTAAATTTGTCAACGATATTACAGTAACTTCTTGCTTTATAACTACACAGTTCAGTCAGCTTTTTTTTCCTCTTTTTTCTGCATTTACGTCAGCTCAGGTGAGATCTACAGAAATTGTACTCGAGACAGAGTTAACCGTCAGATATCCAGAACGTGACCTGAAGTAGAGCAGTTCAAATCTCCGTAACACTAGCCACTGCGATTAAGCTGTGCTGAGTCAGCAGAGTCCCTCCTGCAGCGCGGTAAATATTTTATACATTGGACGAGACTGCCACCTGGCAGCTGTAACACAAACCTGTCCGTCACCTGCAGCGGGAACGGCAGAAGCTTCTTCTTTTTACCCACAATTCCACACGTGTCTTAAAGTAAACGTCACACTGTGTGTCAGCTGACGCTGGTGTCCGGTGTCAGCAGCAAGCAATCAAATGAAAGGGTTTACAAAGTGTGTGTGTGTGTGGTCTTTTATTTATTTTATTTTTTTCTCCAGGCCGTACATGTCCATGGGGTCACTGCGGGACCAGGTGATCTACCCAGACTCGATGGAGGACATGGCCTCCAGAGGACTGTCTGACAAGGACCTGGAGGCCATTTTGGACATAGTCAACCTCTACCATATAGTCACCAGAGAGGGAGGTAGGATCAGTAATGGAGTGAGCTGTGACTTCTTTAAAGTAGGAGTCGGTTTGAAAAGTTTGAAAAGAAAAACAAAAAAAAAACCTGCAGAAAAATCTGAGGAAAAAAAATGAAGTTACAAAGTTACAAAAACAACTGTAAAATAGACAAATACTGTCCACTCTAAATCAGGTCTACGGCAGTGGTTCTTAATCATGGGGCCACGGCCCAAAACCTGGTCTGCCAGTGCCAGCTGGAGGGCCACGAGAAGTTCCGTTTTCCTCTTGTAGGCTGCGAGGGCTGCGGGAATACGCCACAGATATGTTATCAGAACTCCGTTACAATGCAACTTTTGACCACATGGTGGCAGTAATGATGACTCAGTTACAGAGAAGAAGACTTCTTCTCTAGGCTAGCTGTAGCAAAAAGTATGGAGACGTTTTTGAAAAGACAAAAACAAACATTGCGTGGTATTTTTTTGGGTTGGTACGTCCCGACTTCTAAAATTTAATGGGCTACGGTCCACTTTGCGTTATAGAAATTGGGCCTCAGGGGTCAGCTGTTCTTACATTTTGTAGGTTCCCACAGAAAAAGAGGATATTTATAGTGTATGTGTGTAGAGTACATGTGACGTGAGCACGTGAGTTTCCTGCTCCACAAATATCCGTCAGCCTCACTAGTTCTTTAACTTTCACGCTTGAGTTTTGCCTAATTGCCTAAAACAGGTCTCTTAATGACAAACAAACAGAGCCATTGTTGACACAGCGACTGTCTGCAGCCCAGAATAACTCAGGGACTTAATGTATGAATGGCTGCTCTGTGGAGGCGTTGGGAAACATCCTGATCTTTAACCACACACTCACACATGTAGAAACATACACAGTGTTGGTGCTGGAGAGGACGTCAGTCGGCCATGTTGTTCCTCTGCTCTTTGTCATTGTTTGGTTAAAACAGTGGTTCAGAATTATTTTCAGTCATGCTCCCCCTTGGGGACAGAAATGTTCTCACGCCCCCCTGACCCACACCCCCACAAATTTAAATACT